AAAAAGTCATACACATACCTTAAGAATGGTATTGCAGAAACATTTGACTGCTGTGTAATATCTCCCACTTGGAGGTCTCTAGGCTGCAGCGATACCTAGTTGCTCTCACTGGCAGGGCGGTGATCAAACAAATTGCTATTGGTTGTTTTTCAGAAAGGGGAGAGGCTACACTAAATCTCAACCGAAACACAGAGAGAGGGTGGGACAAAGTCAAGCATCAAATAAAAAATGGACATTTGAAAGCACTTCATAGGACTTTTAAGTCTTAATCGAAGCATTATAAGCCATGGACTAATCCAACCAGCTACAAGGTGAATCAAATTTCAAACTTTCATTTGATACAAAGAATCAATAAACAACTTCTGAGATCAAATCTGTCTTTAAAGTTTTATCAATTATCGTAAAGTATAACTTTCATTGTGGCGTTATTAATTCTGGGACCTGACTGTTGTGCTTTGTGAAAAATGACAATAGTCCAACCATCAAAGACTATAAAAAACACAAGACATGTTACTTATATAGTTTTGAATAAGGGAAAAGTGTAACTGTCAATATGGCAAACGAAGCGCTTCTAGTTGTACAGGAGCCAAATCATTTATTGATATAGACTGACGTTTCCCTAGGGAAAAGCTCGAACCAGACATGGGTTTTTCCGACAGATTTTTTTTCTTTTTTTTGTGGTCAGCAAATGAACTGAAATCTCAGCAAATACGTGCTTCACAAAAAAAAGAAATATATCTTCATAAAGCGTGGTATCTGTACGTTTAAATCAAACAGCTACACTTAAAAACAAACGTTTTTTTTGGTTTGGAAATCTTTATGAAATGAACACAGGGTACGTCCGTTCAGTCAAACGCACATCACATGATAACAACTACTCAAACGCCCGCAAACTTGTAAACAAAGAGTCTCTGTCATATCTGTAGGAGATTTGCCATCAAGATCAAGTTGAGAATGACTCTAGAAGACCAGCGTGATCTGACGACGGTGTCGTGATCTTGTTCCTTTTGAGTGCATATGTGCATTAGCTTGGGCAACCCAAGTGTTTGTTTAATTTTATTGATGATTCCAAATATGTAATCGTAAGCTTGACAAGCAGTTTTAAAGAATTTAATGTATCCCCATTGAGACCAAATGCCCTAGAGGCATTTCAAAGATGGCTGCCGAGTGAAATGACTTGCCTTAAAGGGACTTTGCAAACATTCACTTAACCATTCAAATTATCTCGGTTAGAAAACTCAAGTCCTTCCTACATTTTTTACATGTTCGAGAAGCTATTTCACTCAAATACATCCCAATAGAGAAGAAAAAGGAAACTGATACCGAAGAGCAAAGGTTTACGCATTCAAACATGCGTGTGGTGTTGTGTTAGGAGTAGCGGGGTATGTTTCAAATGAGTGAGCTGCAGGAATGCCGGCTCCCACCGTTATGTTTGTGGGCTGCTTTCCCTTTCGCACACTTTTGCTTCTCACATACGCTTGTGACAAACAGACTTTGGGTCCTCAGGGTGTTTGTGTGTTGTTGTTCTGAATGCATGTTGGGTCATGAGGGATTGGTGTTCGTTACATTTGTCATCGGTGCAGAAGTCCGTAATGATACAGAGTGTGTGTGTATGTGTGTGTGAGGCTTTAACACACTAATTAAAAAGAGATTAGAGATGGCTGAGGTGTTGCGTCCCTTGAAGAGCGCAAAGAGAAACTCATAACAACCTGATACACAGGATTTTGGATCTTCAGTGACTTTACTGGTCATAAATTTACTGTACATTTAAATGCTTTCTGTGTGCTATACTGCCTGTTACTTTCTTGGCTCAGTGTTTATATTTCACGTATGATATATATGTGATTTATATGGTGTCTCTCATGTTTGATCGTCTGAGAGGACGAGACACCTGTTCTAGTGTAATTTTCTCATGTCCTTGAGGAAAACAGAGCAATAACTCTCTTAGTAAACACACTATTTGCACCATGTGCTGCAGGCCAGCTAGATAAATCCTCTTGTTTTTGTGTTTGTTTTGCTTGAAGGTCTTGCATCAAGGCTGTACTGCGTTTGACGTGGTACGGCAGACGAGAAGCTCTGGTATCAAGCGCGTGTGTGGTGTCTTTATGACTGTGTTTAAAATGGCATACTACATTTGCTGTTTCTGCAGTATAGAAGCGCATACACTATGCATTATACGCACATTTTCAGTGTGTACAGAATCCCTGGATGACTAAAAATGTAATGTGCTGTGTTCAACTGTATCCTCCAATGCAATATGCTAGATTTGACCTGGTGTTTTCAGTATGATGGATGAATCAGGGTTAATTTGTGTAAAGATAAAATAAAATTAATTTAATGTACAGTTGTGTGTATTATAAATCAGATATTTTCTTACATGTGCTTATTGCGAGTATACGCAATGTTGATTCTGTTACTGTGTGAGGGTTATGAAAGCATTTAGGCATAAGAAAATGTAACTTTGAAAAATTAAAATAAATTAATTTTATTTGTTTATAAAACACAGACTATGTAGTATTATTTTACATTTGATTGTTTAATTACTGTATAACTGAATACAGTTTTGATTATTCGGAAAATACTAAAGCGCTAGTTACTTAATTAGCATTTTTTTATGGAATTCATCTATGATTGTATTTTATAAAATGTATTAAATGCAATTATGTATGTATGCATCTATATATGCATCTAAAGCAATATATTCTTTACAAACATTAATTCAAATCGTATAGTGAAATTGTATTCATATTACAATATATATCGTTAAATAAATATCACGGCACGGCAGTCACGGCTACCGACAGATCCCAAGTGATGCTCAAGCACTGGTCGTGTTTTTAAATACATTTAATGTTAGCCTTTTTAAATAAGACAATGTTTGACTTGATATGATTATAAGATTAATGCTAAATGTGGTTGTTTTAGGTAGAAAAAAATTCACTTCAAATATCAATTATTTGATATAATATTTAAGTAATTTAATGTTTAAGTAATAAAAGAATATTGAAATTTTAAATTATACATTATTAGTTAATTATAAATTATTTTATATACATCATATGTTCACTGTCATAGATGCATGTTGTATTAAGCCTCATATTAATTATATCGAATTTAATATTTAAATTGAATGTTTAATGTTTATTTTAATTTTAGTTCTAAATAAATATACTTTTTTTCTTTAATAATCAGCTGTGTGTGTGTGTGAGTGCGTGTGCATTTACATGTGCGTGTGTGTGTGTGTAATAAATTTTATATTTAAGTAATTATATATTTAAGTACGTCTTATTTAATTTATTTATTTTCTTTTCAGCTTAGTCCTTTTATTAATCAGGGGTCACCACTGCAGAATGAACCGCCAACTTACGTCATATTTTATTGAATTAAATATTTAAATAAATGAATGTCAATATGTTTGATTTAATATTAGTTCTAAACAAATATACATGTATTTCTTTAATAATCAATTTATTTTAAATAATAAAAAGTACATTATTGAGATGCCACCTCATTTTGAGCCAGGAAAAATCAAGATAAGGTCATGATAGGTCTGATAGTTAACACTGCTGTGTGTGTGTGGAGGGTAAATATTATATAAATATTATGTTTATAATACTTATACCTATAATAATCGTTTACTTACTTTATTCTAATTATCACTTGAATCCCATTACTTTTAAATATCAATTATTTTATATAGAAAATGTAATATTTCATATCATTTAATATTTAATTAATAAAACATTTAAATATTAACTTGTGTATATATTAGTTAATTATAAGTTATTTTATATACATCATATTTACACTGTTACAGATGCATATTGTAATATATTAAACCTCATATTAATTATATTGAATTAAATATTTAAAGAATTCAATGTTAATCTGTTTAATATTAGTTCTAAATAAATATACATTTATTTCTTTAATAATCAATTAATTTTAAATAATAAACATTTTTCAGGTTATTTCCCCCTAAATACAGCTATCTATGCACCAGTTATTTGTGCTTTTTCTGTCATGATGTATACTGGTCTGCTACTCATCAAAACACAGCATACCACACAAGTTTTAAGCATTAGAACTGCATACTTAGTTCTCGGGGGATGCGGACCATTTCACTGTAAACGTGAAGGAGACAGATCGGAGACTGTGTGATTGCATGTTTCATGGGTGAGGAGGGAGTGTTGGCTGGGCCATGAAGTGTGGAGAGATGGACCGCTAGACATAGTTTGCGTGTGCGTGTGTGCTTGTCAAGGTTAGACGGGCTTAGCACTGCAGTGTGCTCATTGTTCCTACCCCCCTCAGCAGCCGCCCACCCCTCCCTCGTGCTGCAGTTCTCCTCTACCCTCAAGAAAAACAGCCCTATCTCCAACACGCACATTTTCTTGCGTTTGGCACAGAGGTGTGGGGTTGCCATGTCACCCCGGCACCGCACAGCTGCTTTATGTTGAGCGGCGACGTTGCCATTCATTCTTCAGCCTGCAGGAAACAGGAGATCCCATAGTCTGCAGGAAGTTGTAATTTACTCCAGATAGAACATGTTTCTTCCTCCTCTGGCACGCACCCAGCCACTACTGTTAGTGTCTCTCTGATGAAGGGATGGGGAGGATGTGCATTGCGCTTTCTTTCTGCTGAATAGAGGATGTAATTTATTGTAAACATTAGAAATGCACAGAGATCTTCAGAAGAGTAGAGTTATGTCAGAAGAGTGTAAGGTCTCTTCCCTTCTGTGTCTGTTATATTAGGCTCTGACTGTGTCTGATAACTATCAGCTTGCCCTGGATTCACACACACATACACGCACGCATATGTACATGGCTCGCAGCGTGTTTAGTGAACACGTTGAGCAGAGGAGGTGACGGACAGATTGAGTGTGGTGATTTGTGCTCTCTGATATCAGATGTATTGCATGTCTGAGCGCTTGCAGTAGAGTGTAAACACTCTTGCGAATGAGGTTGTGCTCATAAAGCATGTGCTTGTGTGTTTTTTTACAGAAGGTGGTGGATGATGACGGCCACGGGAGGAAGTCCAGCCCTGCACCCTGCCCTCCTAACAGCAAGCTGTCTGATAGCGGCCTGGAGGAAAAGCTAGCATCTAAGGTACTGCATCACTTTACACCCAAGTCTTTTTAAATGCAAGGTCACTTTACAGATCTTGGCAATATACCTCCCCCCCCCCACCCACTTCAACAACAGTTCAATCACTAATAAAGACAAAAATAATATCATACCTGCCTAATGCATTGTATTTGTGCATGTGTTGCATTGAAATCAAACAGCAGAACTGCGTTTGATAATTGCATACTATTTTATAGACACAAGAGGCATGTCTGAACTCATAAACGACTGGCAAATGAACTCTGCTATGATCTGCTGATGACTCAGAACTGTACAGACTAATATCATTTACTATTAAATGAGGCCACTGGAGAGGATTTGAGAAATGTATTGAAGCATAGCAATTAATACTAGTAGGCCATTTGATGATGACAACACTGCGTCACATGTCTAGTATGTTTAGACTAAATTTATACTACAACTCTTCATACACACATCAATGGGTGTAGTAAACCATATTTTATTTTCCGATAATTTGGGGACTAACAATAACATAAAGTAGCATTTATCAACAGATAACTAATATAGCTTCTGATATGTTGTGCATTACAAAATGTAGGACTTCATTTGCCTTTCAAATGACACTATACGCCATGCTTCTGACTTAACCATGTAATGTATAAATTTAGTGTCGTCCTGAATGGAACATGTTTTTTTTTACTTCATGGAAATTCAAACCGTTTCACTGTTGATGTTTTATTGGCTGCCAAATTAGTGAAAGAACAAACCAAACTACTAAATATACTCGCCAGCCACTTTATTAGGTACACCAGTCCAACTGCTCGTTAAGCAAATTTCTAATCAGCCAATCACATGGCAGCAACTTAATGCATTTAGGCATGTAGACATGGTCAAGACGATCTGCTGCAGTTCAAACCGAGCATCAGAATGGGGAAGAAATGTGATTTAGGTGACTTTAAATGTGGCATGGTTGTTGGTGCCAGACGGGCTGGTCTGAGTATTTCAGAAACTGCTGATCTACTGGGATTTTTACACACAACCATCTCTAGGGTTTACATCCAGTGAGTGGCAATTCTGGGAGCACAAATGCCTTGTTGATTCTAGAGGTCAGAGAATGGCCAGACTGGTCGTGCTGATAGAAAGGCAACAGTAACTCAAATAACCACTCGTTTCAACTGAGATGTGCAGGAGAGGATCTCTGAACCCACAACAAGTCAAATCTTGTGGTGGATGTGCTACAGCAACAGAAGACCACACCGGGTGCCACTCCTATCAGCTAAGAACAGGAAACTGAGGCTACAATTTACACAGGCTCACCAAAATTAGACAATAGAAGATTGAAAAAAAGTTGCCTGGTCTAATGAGTCTCGATTTCTACATTTGGATGGTGGGGTCAGAATTTGGTGTTGACAACATGAAAGCATGGATCCATCCTGCCTTGTATCAACAGTTCAGGCTTGTGGTGGTGGTGTAATGGTGTGGGGGATATTTTCTTGGCACACTATGGGCTCATTAGTACCAATTGAGTATTTTGTCAATGCCACAGTCTACAGGAGTATTGTTGCTGACCATGTCCATCCCTTTATGACCACAGCGTACCCATCTTCTGATGCCTACTTCCAACTGGATAACGCGCCATGTCATTATGCATGAATCATCTCAGACTGGTTTTTTGAACATGACAATGAGTTCTCTGTTCTCAAATGGCCTTCACAGTCACCAGATCTCAGTCCAATAGAGCACATTTGGGATGTGGTGGAACGGGAAATTGGCATCATGAATGTGCAGCTGACAAATCTGCAGCATATATGTGATGCTTTCATGTCAATATGGACCAAAATCTCTGAGGAATATTTCCAGTACCTTGTTGACTTTATGCCACAAAGAATTAAGGCAGTTCTGAAGGCAATGAACTAGTAAGTACTGGTGTACTTTATTAGGTACATTAGTGAGGTGTACCTTATAAAGTGGCCGGTGAGTGTAATTCCCTGATGTGTTCAACACTCCATTTTATCAGTTAAATAAGTGCATCATCTGGGTATTTAAAGTACACATATTCTTTTTAAATTATGAATGCACTACTTACACTATTTATACTACATAATGGCATAGAATAATGAATAAGTACGTGATTTGGGATGCACCTTTTGTCATTTTGGAGAGTCAGAACTTTCATACAGCTGCCATATTAGGCTAAGCAAGTTGAGCAGATGAACTGTTATTTGTGTGGTCTATCTCCTCTTGTCTCTGTTTACACATGGGCTCCTCGTTTATCCCCACACACCCTCTTCCTCAAAGAATCACATGCAGGAAATGGCCTCTTTCTATCTTACTCTGTCATACTCATCTCAGGCCTCAACTAACCTCACCCTTCTCACCCAGCCCTAGGCAACACCCTCCTTCACACCCCTTCCTCTCATTTTCCCTTTCAGTCATTCATTCAGAAATATCTAACTGCACATACACACCAGAGCCTCAACAGTCATCTGGGTGCCACCTTGCGTCTTTATTTTTTTCCATTTCTAGTGGGATAATCACAAGTGTGCAGTGCAAGGTATAACAGGGTCCATTCTGTTTCACGTAACCCACTTCATAGGGCTTATTTATTATTAACGTGCATTATATTCTAAGGTTTGTTGGAGGTTTTTGAATGATTTATTTATACTTGTTTTTATGCAGTAGTAAATTTTACAATACTGTTATTGGATATACTGTAAATATAAAAGTAAACAAGCAATTACAAGATTAAACTAGTATTTGTGTTAAATGATCCTTCAAATATGCTAATTTGAAGGTCAAGAAACATTCAACATGCTTAATATCAGAAACTTTTTTTATTTTTTTACCCCACACAACATACAATTCAAAATACATCAACATTCAGGAAACTAATGTAAACAAATTATAATAAAATAACAACAACACAAAAATTATAACCTAAATATAAAATACAACAGAAAGCCAAAATGACAACCCTTCAACAATTCTTTTACATGCTTTCCAAATACTGTAAAAAGCTACCCCATTTCTGATTGAAAGTATGCGTGAAGTATGTCCTGAAGCCTTCCCAACATATGTTCATATGACGCAGTAGAAGTCATCACCTCAATCAATCCTTAAAAGAGGGAGTATCTGAGTTCTTCCAATTTCGCAGCACCAGTCTCACAGCCATAATACATCCTGCAACGGCTAGCCCAGCCTGTGCTTTAGACATTCCAAGAAGACAAACTCTTGTTGAATAAGGTAACGGTTGTCCCAGCCATTTGTCAAGGTTTTGAATAACTCTTGTCCAGAATGGAGCCACCAAATGACAGTTCCACATTAAATGTAAAAAGGTTCCCACAGAATGACCACACTTCGAACCGTGGTTATTTTTCATTAATCCTGGCCTATACAGGACCCCCTATACCAGAAACTACTACTTCCCATTCACCCTCTTCTAATATCGTAAACTTTACGAAACGTTTGACCAATCAACTTTTAATCAGTTTGATGCATGCTTAGTAACAAATTATTATTAATAGGGACCATTTTGTTCACATTGCTACAGTCTTTGTGAGACAATCTGAGACATATTACTATGTTACATATGTTACTAGAGCCAGTATACTTGACTCAACCTATACATCAACAGTCAAAAGGCCATAGACCCACCTGGGCTGTTTCCCTAAACGCCGTCTTCCTCTTATCCTCTTCATTAATGCTCTACCTGTCAGCCTCCGCTCTGTGGCCTCTGATGGATTAGCTCTTCTCATGCATACATGATATTACAGCAGGATGTTTATACTGCTCTGTTTGTGTACTCTGCTCCAGGCGTCCACACTCCCCTCACCAAGTTTCCCTCTGTGTGTTTGTACGTTTTGTGTGTAATTATTGCTGTTCGCTTGCTCCTGTGCAAATGCACTTGATAATCTGTGTGTAATCAGACCTTAAAGAACTTCTTTATTATTCATGTACAGATTTGTGTAGACATGTATTTTAATGCTACTCAAACAGTCCATTTCATATTCAAACTGCCTTAAAGTGCTTCATTAATATTGATATGTGCTTGTTTGTGTGTATGTGTGTTTGCAGGGCAACTCGCAGTCTTCACTGGTATTCAGTCGACTGTTTCCTGACATCAAAGAGGAACCAGGACATGCTCCCATCATCCATCCGAGGTATGGCCCTTTTTCCTTAGTGTTTCCTTTTGGCCTTGTTCCAAAATCCAACAAAAACAAGCAAGTGTATATGATAAAATGGACACAATTCCATAGATGTCATGTAGAGCAGTGGTCCCCAACCCCCAAGCTGCAAACTGGTATCAGTTCTGCGGATCAATTGGTACCAGGCCGCACAAAACATCATTAATTATTTCTATTTTATTTACTATCTTTACTATCTGAGTTTTATTATTCTAAAAAATTCTTTATTTTAAAAAATGACTGTATTTTCTCAGTTATGTCTTGGTCACTTGAGTGCCAAAATTAAATCCACAAGCTAGCAAAAACAGACCTCTTTGGAAAGTTTCTTTGTGATAATTAAAAGGGCCAGTGATTGAGTGAAATTAGGTGAAGCCAGTATGTCTGTGCTAGAAGATCAGCTGCTGGTGATCGTAAATGATGGCAGCTTTATGGGTCGTTCACATATCATGTTTTTATGAGCAAGTTCGTTATTTCCCATGGAGACACTTGGCTTGCGCCACCCGCTCACATCTTCCAGGCGCACCTAGTTGAAACCATCTTTCAGAATGCTGCGAGTGCACCATGAGTCACGTAATAAGATCTGATCAAGCAGCTTCATACTTTGTATGGGATATACACATTTCGGTAGACTAACTCATACCTGCCATTATTGGTCTCTGAAAATGCGGGTTACTGTGGAGGGGGGGCGGCGGTGGTGGTGGACAACACAGTTCAGAACCGGGTTAGTAATTGAACTGTGGTGTTAGTAACTGTACTACGGAGCGGGTTTCAGGTTACCCCTGCGATCGAATGCTATACCAAAGTTGGTGACCCCGGGGATGTTACAGACTATACCAAAAAAGCTGTGGACCGTGTGAGGTGGTTAAGGGGAGGTGAAATTACAGGAGGTTTCTGAGAGAAATAACAAAATGAGAGGGTGGCAGGAGATCGGTCTGAAATACATGAGACTCCTGGGAAAAACAGGACTGTTGGCAGGTATGGACTAACTAGTGCAGACAAACACAGGGCACCTAAACACTGCAGTGCTTTTTAATTTGCTTTATTAATAAAACTTGTATCAGAGTTACAGCAATAGCCCCTTTCACACATACAGACCTTTCCGGAAAATTACCGGCAATTTTCCGGAAAGGTTGTATGTGTGAACAGGTCCTTTTTGAAAATACCGGTAAATTCGTTCTGGCTATTTTCCGGAAAGAGAAGTTGTAACATTACCGGCAATTTGCCGGAAAGCTGCGCTGTGTGAATGCAGAAGGAAGATTTCCGGAATAAGCTCGTGCACGTCTAGAATGTGCTGACGTAAGACTTCTGCTTTAGCCAATCACAACAGTCAGACGCATTTACGTCCGCGCGGTTTGTGAGAATAAAAGCCTTTGAATATTTTTCCAGATACATTTAGCTGCTAGAAGTTAGTCAGATAACGTTTATATGTTCTTCTTAATGCCAACTGTGTAAATAATCATCGATAAGATGCTTATGATAAGCCGTTGTTTGTTTACCTTCAAGCTTTGCGTGTGCCCATGAAACAGCCTGTGAGCGTCAGCACACGCACATATTATGAACATCTCGACATGCGAATATGATCCAGTGAAAGTTGTTTACAATATTGATCATCAAAAGAGTTTGTAATTTAGTCAAATGTTTACAAATACAAGCGCAGCCGTTTAAAGCTCATTTGTGGTGAATGATGTCAGAATTTACCGGTATTTTGGAATGCATGTGTGAATGCTCTTTTCCGGAAAATTTCCGTAACGTCCTCGCCTGTGTGAACAGGGCTTTTTTGTATATACCGGTAAAGTCGTTCCGTAAATTTTCCGGATATTTACCGGTATCACTGTGTGAAAGGGGCTAATGTTTTGTCAGCTTGTCATCCTCAAAAAAAAAAACGTTGATGGTCGCCTAGCAATCTACGTTGAACTAAAACCCCCATATCCGCCAACCTTTGCATATGTATAGCAACACCCTTCAACCAGTCACATTGCCCTGGCAAACCTCAGACAGTGTAAAAGTGTTTTTAGGCCAGTTGTTAGCATGCGTTTTCAGAGATCTGATTAAAAAGAAATGTCATCTTCATGCATTCACATTCTTTTTAATCATTTGCAATTTTACTCTCTACGCCACTTAAAGTGATTAAATTGCATTGCCACACTTCAGCTATATCCTTTTCTTTAAAAATATGTTAATTAATCCCCAGTCTGATCTGATTATTGAGATTAGCTGTGTAGCGCATCATTACTTGTTCAGCTATAGACGTAAAAGCTCTCTCAGAGCGACAGTCCTCCTGTTATTGCTGGGATTTTCAGTTTAGTATGTGCACCAGTTTGAAGGATTTTATTGTTTGCAGCTACTACCTGTACACGTACGATAAGATGGTGGCCCCTAACGTGTCCCTGCGGAAGGAGAGAGAGGTGAGCCATGAGGTTCTGGGGGCCCTGCTCAAACAACACTACAGCAGGAGGACGTTCACCCATGACAACCAGCCCACCACAGGTCAGTGCACGCTCACCATTGACTTACACTAGTAAATGATTGTGCATACATGCGCAAGAGTGATAGGCTGTTAGAGGTCAGAAGTTTATGCACATGCGTGTGGTTGACTGTCTCAGAGCGTGAGGAGCTGCTGAGAGTGTCTTGCTAATGATTTATACAGCTCACATTTTATAGTGAAGAGAGGGAGAGAAAAGAGGCCGCCGTCCCTGTGAGCGCCAGATCGCTCTAGAGTAGAGTGCTGGGGGAGGGTCTCCAGTCTCCACCGCAACACGCCACATTTCCTCTCGTCCTCCTTCTGCCCATCTCTCTCTCTTTTCCTTTTTTCTGCGCCTCGCTCTTTCTTTGTACACTTTTTAATACTCTTTCAACCCCCACTGGCCTACCACTCACCTCTTGATGATTTCCGCTTTCTATTTTTTCTTCTCTCTATCTTGCGTCCAGCTCTCCCTTTCATTGATGTACCCGATCTCCATCCTGGCTACTCTTTTCCCCCTTGCTTTCCTCCCTTTTCTCATCCTCAATTTTTCCTCGCTTTCCTCCATGTACCCGTTCTCCATTCTGGCTCCTTTAGTATTTCTAGCTTCATCTGTCTGTTATTTTCCTCTCTCTTGTTCTCAATCTGTTCTGTCATTCTGCTTCCTCGACTCTTTTTCTTCCACTGCCGTCCTGCTACAGTCATAATTTCTTTTTTCTATATGCACTCATCCTTTATCCTGCCGCTGACTATCATTTCCTTTTCTTCCACATATCTGTTCTCTGTCCAGGAAATCCCTTATCTCTCTTACACGTACCTGTTCTCCATCCAGGTTCCTCCATCTCTCTTCCTCCATCTGTTTATCTCTCTTCCTCCATCTCTCATCCTTAGTCTGTCTCTTTCTCTTTCACACACTCAGTTTTCCATACTGGCTCCACCTTTCTCTCCGAATCCATCTAGTCTACTTCCATATACTCAATGCAGTTTTTTTCACATTAAATGCCTCATCTGTCTCTCTCTTTCTTCCTTCACCATCTGCACTTGTTCTCCATCCAGTCTCTTCCATCTTTCATGTCTTCTTTTCCTATTGGACTATATCTATTTTTCCGTTTTTTCTCTATCCAGGCTTTTCCCCGTCATTCTTTCTTTCTCATACTGTTCTCTATCCTAGCTTCCCCTTTCTCCCCCTCCATAACAATCTGTCTATCTCTCTTTTTTACATGTATCTGTTTTCTATCCAGATACCTTCTGTTTCTTTATCTTTTCCTCCCCTTATCTGACATTCCCAATCTGTCTCTATTCTGTGTACCCATTCTCCATTCTGGCTTCCTTCTTTCTCCCTTTTTAGTCCGTCTCATTTTCTTCTACATTTCCATTCTCTATCTAATCACTCTTTTCTGTCTTCCTTCATCTGTCTGTCTTTTTACCACTTATTATATCTCTAATTTCTGTATCTGTTCTCCATTCTGGCTCCCTTCTTTCCCTTGCATTATATCTTTATTTTTTTGTACCCGTTCTCCATTCTGGCTCCCTTCTTTCCCCTTTTAGTCTGTCTCACTTTCTTCTTTCCCCTTTTAGTCTGTCTCACTTTTTTCCATTCTCTGTCCAATAACTCTTTCTTTCCTGTCTTTCTTCGTCTGTCTGTCTGTATCCCCCCTCATTATATATATAATACCCAATCTCCATTTTGGCTCCCCTCTTTTCCCCCTTCAGTCTTTCACTTTCTTCTACCTTTTCATTCTCTATCCAATCACTATTTCCTGTTTTCCTTTATCTGTCTCTTTTTTTCCCCCCATCATTATCTTTTTCTTTTTTGTACCCGTTCTCCATTCTGGCTCCCCTCTTTCCCCCTTCAGTCTCTTTCTTACTTCTGTTTCTCAATCCCGGCATCATTTTTTCTGTCTTCCTTCATTCATCTCTCTTTTTCCCCTCTCATTATATACATTTTTGTTATACTCAATCTCCATTCTGTCTCCCCGATCTCTCATTTCTCTGTCTTCCATGTTGAAATTCTCCATCCTGGCGTTTCTGGTTCTCCATCTCTGACTCATTGCTGTGAGTGTGACAGACAGGTCTTAGTCACAGTAGAGGCCAGCAGCAGAGCGAGACTGTTATTCGGCTCTGCAGTGGCAGACCTGCAGCCTGCCTGTCCTACATTTAAATGAGCTGCATCTTGCACACACACACACACACTCTCTCTCTCCCCCTCAGTCCCTCTGGACTCCCATATTGCTCATCTAAACACACACGCTAGGCTGCTGCGGTTTCCCTGGTGCAGGTGATTTGTATGTTAACAGCGTTAAAAAATACTTCAGATTGAGAAATTCTTCCCCCTCCACATGCCGCACGTTTCTGTGTCACACTTTCAGCTCTTCCCCTCTATGCTGACCTTCAAAGAGAGACACCCACAGAGAATTAGTCACACAGACTGTCAGCATATGACAGATAAGGTGTGTGTGTGTGTGTGTGTGTGTGTGTGTGTGTTTGATCGCGTGAATGTGGTTAACTCTTTCTTCCTTTTCCCTCAGATCTTCCTGCATCTCCTTCTTCCACTGCAGAGGAGGCCAAATCCCACCACACGGGCGAAGCACACGAGCGCCGCCAACCTCCTCCGCCGGTCGCCATGGAGACCAGCCCGGGTGGCAAGCAACACGCCCCCATTTCCATGGCGGGCAAAGACAGCGGCGCAGAGGATGACAAGGACAGGATCATGCTGGAGATCGTGCAGATGTACCGGCGGCAGCAAGAGAAGCTCAATTCCACGCTTCAGAAACAGCTGCAGCTAGAGATGGTGAGGAAGTTCAATTAGATGAATCATGCCTACTGGAGACGCACAGGCTCTGTTCTAAACTCTAATGAGCTGCCTTACTGTCTGCTGTCTACATGGGCAGCTACCTTCTAAGTTAGCATCATGACTTACAGGCTTCTCACTCCATGATTATGGTTGATTACACTTAAGCAGAATGCATCTAATAAGAAGGGTAAATATTTTTTTCAATTTCTGCTGACAGTTTTGTAAAAAATCAGTGGATTTATTATTGTGGGAGTATCGTAACTAAAAACAATAAATGAAATAAAAAAATAGCTTTAACTTTTATTTAGTGTTTACAATGTAAATCCATTTAGATCTACTTATTTGTTAAACAAAGTAAGTCTCTCTTATAATATATGAACTAAAAGACAGAAAATCTTACTTTACAAACTGTATTGTAAATAAATTAAACTAACACTTTCATATTAGTCAATAATATTACTGAAAGTAATTTAAAAACTGAATATAAAATTACACACATTTACTACGGATGCTCTGATTGATTGGCCGAAGATTGGAATCGGCCGATAATCACATTTCATGTCTTAATCGGTACTCGATCTGGCCAATCTCATGAACTGGTTGCAAGTGTTTGTTTACGTGTTTACAACCCAGGTTATAGATCCACAGTGCTACAACACATGCTCAGTTTTTCCAAATTGCAATGTCAGTAATTTTTCTTACCATTTTTTTTCTATCTGTTTTATCTGTTATTTTTTGTTAAGCTGCTTCTAACCATTACATGTACGCAACATTCCTAATTTATTCTCTTAAGTAAGGTGAGTTCTTATACATAGAGGGAAAATGTGCTTATGCAATGGCAAAGTTATATAAAGCTTGAAGCATCAAAATCGGTGCTTGGTATTGGCTGATTAAAATGACGAGGGATTGCTACTCGAAATCAGCTGCAAAATTCCTGATCAGAGCATCCCTAACATTAACACAAGTAAATGAATAGACTTAACGATGGGCTATAATCTCCAGATTTCTGCACGCACAAATTTTGTGTGGGCCCTACTAATAAGCTGTTTAAAAGGCTAATTGTGATTTTATGATTTATATATATATATATATATATATATATATATATATATATATATATATATATATATATATATATATATATATATATATATATATATACACATATATATATATACATATATATATATAAAATATAATATATAGTATAATATATAGTATAATATATACTCTATATATATTATATTATGTAGTAAAAATATTATATATTATATAATAAAACATATATATATATATTTAAAACATTGTTTAAAAAGTTGTTTTTGATTCTTCAGGGAAAAAGCTTAAAAATGATCATGTCACCTTGCAATTGGCTTTCTTTTTTTAATAAATCACAAAGTATACAGTACAAAATATGCTAAACATGATACACTGAATGTCAGGGAAACATACACACTAAAGTGACTACAGGAACAGAGTGGTAAACAATAATGCAAATAGTAATGTAGAAATAATTGTTATTTGTCATTCATTCATTTTCCTTCGGCTTAGTCCCTTTATTCATCAGGGGTCACCACAGCGGAATGAACCGCTGATTTATCTAGCATATGTTTTCATGCAGCAAATGACCTTCCAGCTGCAACCCAGTACTGGGAAACACCCATACACTCACAATTACACATGTACACTCCAGATTAGCTTATTCAATTCACCTATAGTGCATGTCTTTGGACTGTGGGGGAAACCATGTTATTTGTCAAGCCCAAGTATTTATGTTTTTTTTTTTTTTTTGTTGATAGTACACATCTTAATCTGCTCACAATGTTGGCTGATAAATGCTTAAAAAGGTTCAATGAAACTGATGTTAATTCAATGTGTCAATTGTTATACATTTCATTCATATCTATGTAAGTGGTTTATAAATTGCTTTGACACGTTTGAGTTTGAAAAAGAAAATACCCTTAAGCATCTCTGCTGCTTATAATTTGACATGAGAAATTACATATGGTAAAAATCTTGAGCTTCATAAGCACAAATAATGAAAAACAATCAATTTTCATCTGTACCCTTTTTTAATGCATGTATGCAACAATTCTTGCTGCCATTTTGGATGAAAATGCTCATTAAGCTTGCCATATTGCTTCTGGGATTGTCTCATCCTTAAAATGATACATGCGATTCTGCCCTAGATTTTATCTTGGAAGAGGCGGTGTGATTTTTGCGTCAGATGCATGCATATAATCTCTAAAAACAACTCGTCTAATAGGCAGTTTGATGAGGTTGGAACAGAGCCATAGTTGTCTTTTTATATATTATCATGAAAGCTCTTTTTTTTTTGGTCATGTGAAAAGTGAAAGGACTTGTTACAGCGTGAGCCCGGACTTGTCCACTGCAGACCCGTAAGCTCTGGCACAGATAGTTTGACGCATGTCATGTTGTGTGTGCAGGAGCTGGAGGCAGTGCGCGGGGGCGAGGCGGCCCGGCTCAGGGAGTTGTCTGCGGAGCAGCTGGAGCTGCAGAACGAGCTGGAGGCGGTGCACACTGAGCATGCTCAGAGACTGGGGGAGGTGCGGCAGGAGCAGAGGCAGCTGGAGCACCGGCTCGAGCAGCTCAAACAGCAGAGTTGCGCCTGTCAGCCTAAAGAGCAGGAGGCACAGTACAATGCACAGGTAAATGCATATCTGAGCATGCCCGAAATCACGATGTGATGCAACAACCACAACAACACAAACTATACCCAGTGTGAATTATCCCTGCACCCAGTGGAATATGCTGCTTGTATCAGCACGGCTCATCTGTGTGGGAGTGATTCAGTTATTTGTAGAGAGATACGCATGCACATTGAAACGGAGAGCCAGGATGACTTGCACAGTGGGCCTGATTCCTGCGTTTCAGTCATCAACTAGGTCAAGTGGCTTACAAATGTTTTAAAACAAATAAACAGTATAAAGGGCAGTTCACACCTTGCTGACAGACAGCACCAGACACTTTGTCGGAGCACTGTGTCAGAGGGTTGCCCATTGAATGTAGTGAATCTGCACTTATCAGATTGTAGGGGAAGTGATGTGTTATAATCTGGTAATCGTCCACGTTTGTTATTGTCAATTGTCAATTGGCATTCATTATATCAGATCATAATACCTAATAGTAGCCAATTTATCACTGCTGATATTAGCACACAGAGCAAATTGAAATCAAAATAAAATCTAAATAAGATTTGCATGTTTTCTTATTAATTATGTTATTTCTTACAGAATTGTGTTAGAGGCCTTTACTAAGCACTTGTATTGTAATTAATGCATTGCAAACACATCATTAATGCTATATTGGATGCAAGTGATCTCTGAGCTGTGCATTTAATGTTACAAAATATTTTCATTTTAATATTTAGACATCATCAATTCCGTGTTGCTATTGATGATAACATTTATGGAAATTGTCAATTTCAACTTCAGCTAGAAATTATTTTTATAGTTTAAATGAAGTACTTGAAGATTAGAAATGTTGCCTTTGGAACTAGCTGAATTTTATTTTAAATAATAAAAATGTTATATAGTAATATTGATAAAAATAGGCATCAGCAATTAAAAATCCCCCATTTAAATAGAAATGTTAGGAATAAAGCTAGACAACACTTAACTTGAAGTTCACAAAATGTGTGTCGGATATTAATGATTGAACTTCTCCGATACTTAGAAAGTTAATTCTGTCCTTCTGAGCAAACTTGATGCTCAAAGGCAGCTGACTCATTTCTTGCTTTCCATGTTTTCTTGCTTTAGATACTTGTAACTATTAAATAGACACCAGTACTTTGCTATTAAATGCTAATACCTTTCGATGCTGGAATTTAGATGCTAATACTCATTACATACTAGTACCTATTATTAGAAACTAGTAGTTATTATTTATTATACATTATCTTCTGAATTATTATGGTACTCCTCTTTTCTGACTAGTATTATTGGACACAGTGGAGTTCAGTTAAAAAAAATGACTAGTAAATTGAATTATCTTGCTTATAACATTTTAAGTAAGAACTAATATCTATTTTATAGACACAAGTACCTAATCAGTGAGTGCTAGCATTCATTAAATAAGAACTAGTGTTTGTTTTAATGCAACAGTATCTTATAGGTAAATACTAGTATGTAAGGATTAAGTACTAGTATCTAGTATTCTTGCTTGTTTTCTTCAGCCCCTGAGCTCATTATTAAATTGAGGGGAGGTGATGTTGGGTGCATTTTTCACTCCATAACTCTGTAACCAGCCAGAAAACAAATGCTTCATATGATCAGGCTAATTTTGTATGAACAAATACCTTCATAAAAACCTGCAAAATAGTAAGTTTGGAGTATGTAAGTGCTGCTGAAGTGGAGATTTGTCTGTCCTCTGGGCTGATTTTGAGTATTAATTTGCCCACAGTTTTCTCTGTGTTTCAGCAAATGGAATGATTTTTGGTGACCAATCTTAATTTGACGCAAATGTTCAAATACTCAACAATACACTGCAAATTTAATATCCTTCCATTGTGTTAGTGGCCTTTTTGCCCCATTTACTTTCATTTTTTTATTGCAAAGCCTTGGCATCATATTAGTTTGTATTCTTGATTGTTGCTGGTTTTCCCTGTTGGAAAGAGGTACGAATTGTCATTTTTACCGTTGATCATCAGTTACAGTGCAAAACAAATGTTGTTTCTGGATTTTATGTGGAGTATAGTGTGTGTGTGTGTGTGTGTGTGTGTGTGTGAGACCTTTGCGCACTGATATATCTGAGGAAATCAAAATGCTGCTTGGCTCTCAGAGCATAGTAAGTGTATTTATGCACACACACACTATAATTTGTCGTCATTCCCCATATAACTCCATATAAACGCCAGAAACATGTTTGCACAGGCCTTTCTAAAGGGTTTATGCTGCCAACTCATGATCAACAGCAAAAATGACACATTTTACCTCTTCCTAACAGGGAAGAGTGCGTGATTATTTGGCGTCATGGCTTTGCAATCAAAGAATGTTGTTATAGTGGAAATCAATGACGCAAAAACAGCCAAGTGTAGTCAAACTGAACAATACACAGGGGTTAATGACAAGTTCAAATGCCTTAAATTGACATGTTGATGAGCAAACTGCTTTTGCCTGCAGTGTCATGCATAAAATGCAGTGCAGAAATCACTGATGTTTAGATTTGATGTAATCATTTCCAACCCCTTTCTCTTTCTCTCTCTGCCTGTGTGTTCAGCTGTGTGAGCTACGCTGTCGTCTAGAGCGGGCCGAGGCGGAGCGGCAGGAGCTGCAGGAGGAGCTGTGCAGAGAGCGAGAGGCCAGAGAGAAGCTGGAGCTGATGATCGCTCAGCTTCAGCAGCAGATGAGCCGCTCCGCCAGCAAAGGCAGCAACAGCCCTGCCCAGCCTCCGACCCCTTCCGCCAGCCCTCAGTCCCAGCATTCACCCTGTTCACCAACCCCTGAGGTAACATCCGGATAAACCCCACACTTCAGGAACTCGCAGAGCCCTACATAAAACACAAGACAACAGCTCTGCTGAGAAAGAGCAGCTCTCCCATCACGACCATCGCACCCAGACTCAACCTTTGTGTTTAATTTAAAGACTCTTGGTGTCGCCCGGCCTGCAACCAGTCGTTTAGCGTTTTTTGGATGTACATGTTTGTTCTAATTTATAGTCGTGCTAAGGGGCTGATGGGACGCAGGAGGCTTTTTTTTTTTCTTTTTTAGGACTTCTTGCCTCCTGTGGAGTTGCTCGAGTGTTTCTTTTTCCTGTCCCGGCTCTTTGCAACAGGAAATGACACTGACACTCACTAAAATACTACCTGTCACGCGGAATCCCAGGATGCCGAGTGACAAAGACGCCAATGCCCTGCAGCAGCAAGAAAACCATGTGGATGTTTACTTTTTTATTTAAATCCTGTGTATTGGTTATTTCGTACAGAAAAATGGGAGAATGTGCTTTTTTTTCTTCTTCTTAAAATATTATTTAGTTATTTTACTTGATAGACAAGAGTCCCTTACTGAGGCCCCCCTGCTTTAAGATCATAATCCTCCTCTTTTCCTCAGCGCTTTTGTTTCCCAGCCTGCCGTTTGTCTTTTTGGGGTCTGGTGTTGATTATGCGTTTCCTGTCTGCGCTGCTGACCCTTTGCAGACTGCTGTAAAACACCAGGCCGCCTCATTCCTATGAGAAGCCGAACGCAAAAACACACACATTCGCCCTCTGCTGGAGAACACTATGTATAACAAGCTATTTAACGTTTCATCTATAAAAAAACCTACTTGTATCAATTCCCGTGCTACTACTAACTATTTTTAAATTCTAGTATCATAACTTTAAGTATTAGTAATTATTTATTAGCTACTGTTTGTCATTTTTATTTATGTAGTAGTGCCTATTCATTAGTTCATATTAATTAGATGCTAATACTTCATTATTAGATACTTGTAACTATTAAATAGACACCAGTACTTTGCTATTAAATGCTAATACCGTTCGATGCTGGAATTTAGATGCTAATAGTCATTACATACTAGTACCTATTATTAGAAACTAGTAGTTATTATTTATTATACATTATCTTCTGAATATTATGGTGGTACTCTTTTCTGATTAGCATTATTGGACACAGTGGAGTTCAGTTAAAAATTTGACTAGTAAATTGAATTATCTTGCTAATAACATTTTAAGTAAGAACTAATATCTATTTTATAGACACAAGTACCTAATCAGTAAGTGCTAGCATTCATTAAATAAGAACTAGTGTTTGTTTTAATGCAACAATATCTAATAGGTAAATACTAGTATGTAAGGATTAAGTAATAGTATCTAATAAGAGGAACTAGTACTAACTACAATTATGAACATGAGTACTAGGAACCGCTGGAATACATACTGATCCAAAGAGCCAGTTATTTATTTATTGTTTAATAGTAACTAATAAAAGTACTTGTGTGTGTATTTTAATAAGTACTAGTATCTAATAAATAAGAACTAATGTGTAACAAATTCTAGTATGTTGCTAGTAACTAAACAGTAATATTATAAGCATCTAAAGTGTTCGCACTAGTAAATAATAAGAACTAATATCTAATAAATAACAACTAATGTGTAACATAAAGGTAGCACTTTAGTTTTGGTCACAATTTACACCATTAACAAATCATTAACTAACGCCACTAGCTTAATAAACCACTAATTAGCTGTTTATTAATAGTAAGGTAGAAGTTGGGTTTAGGTTTTGGATAGGATGAGGGATGCAGTATAAGATCATACTTTATAACTGCTAATAAAAAGTTAATATCTTAATAATAAGCAGGTTATAAGCCAGTAGTTAATAGCATGAATTGAGACCTAAACTAAAGTGTTACCTAAATAAATACTAGTATGTTGCTAGTAACTAGATGCTTATAATGTTAATGTTTAAAGCACTTTTAAGCAGGTACCAGTATCTAATAAATAGGAACTATGTAAAAATAAATACTAGTATGTTGCTAGTTACTAGAAATTAATTTTATAAGCATCTAAAGTAGACACACTAGTAAATAGGTACTAGTATCTACTAAATAAGACCTAATGTGTATTTTAATATGTACTAGTATTTAATAAATCACAACTAATGTAAAAAAATAGATACTAGTCTGTTGCTAGTAACTAAACATTATTTACTAGTGCTTATACTTCAGGTGCTTATATTAACATTTAGTTACTAGCAACATATTAGTGTTTATTTATTACACATTAGTTACTATTTATTAGATACTAGTAATTATTATTTACTAGTGTTAATAATTATTAGTATCTAATAAATAAAAACTAATGTGTAATAAATAAATACTAGTATGTTGCTAGTAACTTAACATGAACATTATAAGCATCTGAAGCATAAGCACTAGTAAATAAGTCCTAGTATCTTATAAATAAGAACTAATGTGTGACAATAAATACTAGTATGTTGCTAATAATTAGATGCTTATAAAATTAATGTTGAAAGTATAAGTACTAGTATTTAATAAATAAAAACTAATGTGTAATAAATAAATACTAGTATGCTGCTACTAACTAAACATGAATATTGTAAGCATTTGAAGTATAAGCACTAGTAAATAAGTACTAGTATGAAATAAATAAGAACTATATGCAACAAACAAATACCAGTATGTTGCTAGATGCTAGATGCTTATAATATTAATGTTTAAAGTATTCACACTAGTAAACAATACGTACTTGTATCTAATAAATACGAACTAATGTGTAACAAATAAATACTTGTTTGCAGCTGGTAACTAAACATTAACATTATAATCATCTAAAACTGGAGTGCCCAAACTCTGTCCTGGAGGGCCGGTGTCCTGCAAATTTTAATTCCAACCCCAATTAAACACACCTGAACTAGCTAATTAAGCTCTTTCTGGGTATACTAGAAACTTCCAGGCAGGCGTGTTGAAGGAAGTTGGAGCTAAACTATGTTTGGGCACCCCTGATCTAAAGTATAAGCACTAGTAGATGATATGTACTTGTAATAAAATAAAAACATCATAACCCAGAAAAATAGGTACTAGTAGCATGAAGGAAATCAACACTAGTACGGTTTATAGATTAAATTTAACACTATGAAAATCTGCCCCCTTTGAGGAAGATGTGCAGTTGTGCAAACGAGCTATCAGGATGTTGCAGTTCACACTTTCTACCGTTGCGTCAAAGGAATTAATTGGTTGTAGTTGCTAAATAATTGCAGAACAACGTCCTATCTAGAAGCAGAGCAGACCTTATATTTTGACATCTTCCTAGTGTTAGGATATATCAGGATAGATAAGTGCAGCTCTCGTCTCTTCGTTCATTATTCCGGGTGACTGAATAAACAGGTCTGATGGAGAGAAACAGAGGCAGTCAGGAGGCCAAAGGAGGGACGCTGAGGAGTGAATGAATGCGCTCGCGTTTGCTCTCTGGGGTTGAGGAGGCTCAGAACGGGGCAGCTGCATCTGATGCAGTTCTTCATTTCAATGAGAGTATGTAAACAATACCAAGCAGAAATCGGGGCTTCTTTCCTTCACGATGTACATATATCTCGCATCAAACATTCCACTGTGCACAGCTCATCAGCCAAGAGACTAAATGTACAGTGCAAAAAAACAACCCGACTTATGTGAATACATCCAGCAATGAAGAAGAATCCATAAAAAAGAATTAAGACTATATTGTAAATGAGTGCTTTTTTTTTTGCCATTTTGGAACTTTATTCAGAAATTATTTAATGTATTATTAACTAATAAAGATTTATATACACTTTGTACATACAGTAGTCATTAATATATTAACGAAATTCTTATAAATGATAACCTTTCAAGCTTTTTTTTGATGACACTTACTAAAAGATGGGTGGTTAACATTTATTTTTAGTTCATTATTCTTTTTTTGGGGGGCCTGAAGAGTGGTTGTTGCTGAAGGTGGTGTAGTAGGTGGTCTCTCTGAACCCCTGCTCTCTCTCCCATAGGGAACAGCGACGTTTGCTTGTCCGGTGCCTCATTTCATTGGAGCCCACTGAGACTGACAACAACCTTTTGTTATTTTAGTGGGGTTCAATCGTTATAAATAAAAATGATATATCAATATATTTAAAAATATAAATAATATTTAAATTAAGGGCGTGAGATAATGCATGTATTGTTAGCTACTATATTGTTATGCTAAAACACAGATTCATTATTGCTAAAATGCAAAAGTGACTTTCTTTTTTGTACTCGAGCTTTCAAAGAACCAATCCTCCTCCATATTGTCTGAAAAGAGCAGTCTTTGTCAAAGGAGCGCTAAGTGTGCTCAAGAGCCTAATAGAAAAGACTTTTGATACGAGTGTGTGTCAGTGCAAATGAGATGAAAAGAGTGAAGCTTTTTTAAATGATATACACACACACACACACACACACACACACCCACACACATATATATATATATATATATATATATATATATATATATATAGCTCTGACTTCATGAGTAGTTCTGTTAAGAGATTGTAGCATCTGTTTTTAGCACTGTAATAATGCATTCCTACAGTGCGTCGACTGCAATTTCTGTACAATCAGTATTAGGGTTCTTTTGTTTTCACCACAGTTACCTCTGTAGCAGCCAGTTTCAATGCTGTTTTTGATAGTTTTTGGGTATTAAAATGTATTTCTGAAGCTTTCTAGAGTATACCTTTTCATTTGTAACGATTCTATGAAACGTGTAAATTGCATTTTATACACAGGGGGGCGCTGTATATCTTCTATGTAGTGAATTTTGGCCATAGGAGTACAGTTTAGACTCTGTTTTCGGCGGTTCATTTGTTATGCAAATGAATACAGATAGCGCTGTACATGTATATCCGAGAGGAGTGGAGTATGTCTAGTTTAAAATATGATTAGCAAGAATACCTTAAAGCATTCTAGAGTTGCTAGATTTTTCGGCAAAGCTATCGTGTATTTTGCATTACAGAGGAATAATATCCCATTTTACAAGGGGATGATGAATACTGTGGCTCCCTTGAACTGAATAATAGGTAAAAGAACATTGCAATTATTATAAACGAAGCATTTTTTATATATTGGTTGACATATGTAGAGTACAAATAACTACCTGCCAGCACAGCATGTGTCCCTATGATCTTGATCACACCTTTTCTAATGTGTAACTAAAAAAATATATATAAATCAGATGATGATGATGCTTTTTTTTTTGTTTGAGAACCCACTCAACACTGTAATAGAAACAATATTGATGTTTACGACCTTTGTGAACAGCAAAGTTGCGATTCTGAGATCTGAAAATGCAGTGTTTGTGTGTATCATTGCATTATAATGTTGCCAATCCTACAGTGTGATGAGAGGTTTTTTTTTTTTGCTCTTGCATGAAAATGAGACGTTGCTCTCCTACCTCATGTTGTGATATAAGATGTTTTCTAAAGCAGATGACACATCTCGAACTGTTGATCATGATTGATATTTACGAGTTAAATACATGTACATGCTTTTAGCCAATACCTCAGTTGTATTTAGTGTTTTATTGTTTATTTCCCCAATTTCAGACGTTGTAAATAAATATTGTATAGACAATGAACTTGGATTCAATTCAAGTAAAGTTCTGTAGTGTCAAACCAGCTGTGTCAAGAGTATTTTTGTGTGTATAAATGAATAACACTTAGCATTTTTGTTAGCATTAAAGCTAAAGTCGTGATTCTTGAAACATGTCAATCGTAACATGACTGAAACTTTGATTTTAAAAGTGTGTTTCTTTCACAAGTTTCAACTTTCAAGCATAATTTTAATAATACACGTTTTGTTAAAACATCAACACCGTAAACATTAGAACTGTTAACAATATTTCAAGATTTGTTTCAAGTGAAACAAATAAGATGCCTCTTGTAAAATAATCCTTTTTTATACTTTATTTGTTATTTGTATTTTTTCTTTTTTTTTCCATCCTTAAAAAAAAAAAGAGAAATAAAAACAAAGTAAAATAATAATAAACAAAATAACACATCGCAACTTGAATAAAAAGTTGACTGTTTCCTTACAGGTCACATTACATACATATAAAGATCAGTTGACTCTGTGTAACGGCCTGGACAATCCATTTCCCCCAATATTGCAGGTATTTGCCCCCTTTGTGTTTTTAAAGAAATAAAACATTCGATTTTGAACACTAGATTTGATATCCAACCATTCAGTTTTTGTAGGGGGTTCGAGTTGAAGCCACTTTCGAGGCATAGCTTTCTTACTGGTTGCTAGACGTATTTTTAATAAATACTTGTCTTTTACTATTAGGTTGGCTGCAATATTTCTCAGGTAAACTGCTGTAAAAGAAAAGCCCACTCCTTGTCAAACAATTCTAAAGGATTTCGATAGGATTTCTTTATTGGATTCCAACTAGAATTTTGATGGTATTTTGGAACCTTTCCTAAAGGATTCCAATAGGATTTCTGTATTGGATTCCACTTAGAATTTTTTATATATTTTTGAAACCTTTGCTAATGGAAACCAATAGGATTGTCTAATAAGACTTGTAGGTCAAGTCTATGGGATTTTAATGGAATCTTTCGAGAGTTTTGAGAGATGCATAAATGTACTTTTCTATTTTTCGGACTGTGTCCTTCTATGAGCCCCCTTGACACCCTAATTATTGTGCAACCTATATTACAGAACAGCACTAGTGCACAGACCACTGATCTTGTATAAAAGGGCAACACATGTATGTCCTGTTGTTTTAATTTTCAATTTTAAATTAAATAATTAAAATAATTTCTTTTATTTAAACTGATCAAAAATATTTCCACACAATTTTCTATTTATTACACAAAATTGTGGTGCTTCTTTGTCATTTTGCATTTTTTGGGAGATGGTCTTCTTTATTTGGCTGGCTTCAACATTATATTTGTTTTTGCTGTAACCTGTCAGAGTAAAAAAAAATATTAAGACACATCTCCATCTGAGAGCAAAAGGCTGACTGTTCTTTTTGTGTGATTAAAAGCCAATAAGTGTGTGTGTATTAACCAATAGAGTTTTATCTTCCCAATCAGCAATGCCCAAACCAGCCAGGTTGTTTAAAAGGCCAAATTTTTAAGATATGAACTGCTAAACAAAACTAAAAAAAGCAAAAATTAAACTTGACTCCACATAACACACTGATTTAGGAATGTGGAAATGTCTGACCATAATTAATACTTGGATAACATTTATTTAGACTTATTTTATTTGAAATTTCTCAACTTTTTTGTATCTGTCAAGTGACTAATACTCTAAGGAAAAAACGACAAAGTTAATGCTAAACGTCAAGCTCTGATATAGTTTATAAAGTAGATAGATTAGCAAATTTCTGAGTGTAATTTTACAATTATATTTGTATATTTTTGTTTTTAATATCTTAAAATATAACAATGATTCCAAAATATATATTTTTTAGGAAAAAAAAACTTGCTGATGACGTTAGGCATTTTTTTTAGAGTCCAGTCGAGGTTTGGCTTCTGTAACAGCTTAGCCAGTGTAGCAGTGTGTTCCTATGGTGCTTCTTAGTTGTTTTTAGATACATCATCCTATTGAACATTTATTTGCTAATCATTTAATGATATATTGAGCCCCCAAAACCAAAACTGCAGAACTGTAATTATAAAGCTAACTATCTCATTCTGGGAGACTGAAAAGGCATAAACTGTTCCTTTTATACACATTATTTTTAAGATGTTTTACAGGGTTAAATATACCTTATTTAGTGTTCAGCAAAAGACAGTCACAAAAACAGTGTGAGGGTGAGTATAAATATTGACCATTTTCATCCCTTTAGCGTTGTCTAAGAATGTAATTGTCGTGTCTGTTGTTTAATGTAAATATTCCTAAAGGGCAATAGCTTATCAGGAAGTCAAATGAACCGGTAAGATGGGAATAATGTATACAGAAGCATGTAATTTCACTGTGAGCTTCTTTCTGATTGTAGTTTATTTGCATTCACAGAAATGATATTGTTTGGTTAGGAGCTCAGCTGAAGTCAAATCCTCATTTAGTCAGTTTTCTTAGTAGCCTCAAGAGTAAACCTTCTGGGTGCAAGTAGTTTAACATTCACAGGAATTCCTCCACAGTTCAGTTTCATTCATGTTTATTTCTGTAGCGCTTTTACGATGTAGATTGTGTCAAAGCAGCTTAACACAGAAGTTCAAGTAAAATGAAACTGTGTCAGTCCAGTTTTTAGATTTAAAGTTCAGTTTAGTTCAGTTCAGTGCGGTTTAATTTTCAATGCTGAAAGTCCAAACACTGAAGAACAAATCCATCGATGCGCACAGCTTGTAAACATTCTTAAATAACACATTTAATTTTTTGTTCTCCTTGTTAAATTTGGCTTACATTCACTTGTATAGTTTAACCAACATAATTCCCTTCACATATCTCATGATCTCATGTCATGATTACACAAGAACTGCTCTTTATAAATGGGGCATTCTTGTCAAATCAGGCATTCAAGCAAAGTAAATGTGTCCAAATAAAAAAAGTACAAATATATTTCAAAACCAATTCATATTAGAATTAGATCTACAATGTTCTTTCATTTCTTGATAGTTTACTAACTAATGTAATGTTCATAACATTGTTACAGCTTTATAATCAGGCACATAGTCATTGTTTTAATAAGCCACAGGCATTTTTTTCTTGCCTCTGTAGTGTGTAGTCTATCAGTAGACATTGCCTTACATTCTATGAATCCCCAAGAACCAGGTTCAGCTTAAATCATCCTACTTCATGGTTGGTCTGAGAGTGTATAAGTTCACTACCATTTTAAATTCTGTAAATCGACATTAGAGCGCCACCCCCAGGTTGAAAAACCTAAGGACATTAGATATCCCCAGGTCTAACCTGTCACTCAGTGCCTGTTTTTATGCTTTAAATCATATGTCTCAAACTCAATTCCTGGAGGGCCACAGCTCTGCACAGTTTTGCTTTAACCCTAATCAAACACAGCTGATCTAGTAGTCTTGAACACATTGATTAGTTGGATCAGTTGTGTTTGATTATAGTTGGAGCAAAACTATGTGCAACCTCGTGCAGACTTGCAGCCTTCCAGGAATTGAGTTTGAGACCCAGCGTTACTTATCATAATAGCATTTTTCTAGTAACAATTTAATTACAGAGCTCTTTAATTCAAATTTAGATAGCAGCAGTTACAATCAAGTAAGAATGCTAATTATTGAGCTCCTGACAAGGGGCTGTTCACATTTTGTTTTGTTGAGTAACATGCAATTTAAACTTGATTTCCTCTGTCAATCCATTAAGACAGTGCTGAACATAACGACAACCCCCCAACAAACACATAACATTGCCTTAACATGTGTATATATATATATATATTTATACAACAGTTCTGTCTGGTTCTCAAATCTGATTGGCTGATAGCCGTGGGATATTCTACAATATCAGAACTCCTAAAGCCTCTTTACCCTATGTGTACTCACATACAACCAGCAAAAAGCAGACATTACAGATCTAAAGTGTAAAAGATGCACGCTCAACTGTTTAACTGTCAGCTTATGATTTGAATCCAAGGCGGAAGAAAGTAGTTCCTCATACAAAAGGGTTTTTGAGACTCTCCGTGTTTGATTTTGTTTTTATATAGACAATTATGCCGTCTAACTGTTGTATAAACGCTATATCACACTCGTAGCAGTGAGATATGGCTGTAATTCGGCACTGGTGGGGACACTTAACGCACGCCTCCCACCAGTGCCGATATACAGCCAAATCGCACTGCTACGAGTGTGATATTGCTCATATATATATATATATATATATATATATATATATATATATATATATATATATATATATATATATATATAATATGTATATATATCGACCCTTGCTTAAAAAAAGTTTGAAGGCTCTATGCTGTTGGTGAAGGTTGTTACAACGCTGTCACAAATGTTGTGTCTTTTAATCATCATTAAGCTGTCTGGTCAACAACACCAATTAGAATCACTCGGGCTGTGCACTTTAGCCATTGTCGGTTGGAATCAGAGGGGTTTACACAGGCGCAGTTCTACCAGAGTTATTGTTTCCCCCAACAGTTAGGTCAGCACAGGTGGGGCCCTCATTGTTGATGCTGCAGCAGGTGTATGGCAACCTGGGCCCTGTGTGTACCTCTGGCAGTGCATTTTTAAAGAGTTTCATATATATTTTTTATTGAAAGATTGTGTCTTTTTAGAACTAATTTTCATTTGGTGTACCTGTTAGCTTAAACACAAGTAAATTATTCCACCAATGTCTTATTGCAAACTGTATGGCCAAAAATGAAACCTTAGCCTATTTTAAACAGTTTTTGCTGTTAATGACCAAATCATCGATCGTGCCAGTGCAGTTTCACTTTGATCATTTAATCAAGCTGTTTTACCACAATGAGCCAGGACAGGCTATCCAAACGTAACTTTTTCAGCATTGAAATCGTGGATCCAGTGGTCATTTTAGACATTGGGAACTTTGTTCAGAAAAATGTTAGAAGAAAGGGAGGGATTTTTAAAATTTATCTCATAAATCACTGAAATAAATTGTTAAATTATAAGCTACTTTTGAACAGTTATTTTATAGTGCAATAACATTTCTGTTTAACGGAGTGAGG